TACAGCAATCCAACCACTTCAATTCTATGTTTCCAGTGCCGATTACATGATCATGCAGAACACACACAGCAGCTCCTGATTATTTAGATCTGTGTTAATTTGTTATCTTTATTTAATTAAACAATTTTTATGTCATTACTGATTCCTTCACTTCCATGGTAACAAATACAGTTAATTCATTCAACAGTGGTATTGGATCAATATCAGTGTCTGATTGAAAAAATAAAATAACTTTATCTTTAATCATAATGAACTATATGAAATGCTAAATCTGTCTGATCGTGGCACAGAATGGTTAAAGTGAATATTAAAACAATGTCAAGCATCTAGTAGAGCATGCTGCATATCTACACACATTCATTATAATCGTAATAAGTTTAAAATTAATATCATGAAATTTAAAAATTCACTTTATTAAAAAAAAAAAACACTGTCTGCTTCCGGTTAGCACATGAAGCTAAGTGAAGGCTAACTCAATCTACTCTCTTTAGGGATAGAAAACTGGAGACAGTCTAGTGTTGTTAACTTGGTGACTCTGGGTGTGTTCCATTTCAGTCGCTGCGTCCTCCAGGGACCCGGTCTATCTGGACCAGATCATTTGAGGTCGGTGAAAATAAGGACGCCGGAAAAGTTTTGGCAATGGATTCAAACAGTCCAGCTTTCTCCATTCCTACAGCTCTGTCACCCCGTAACTGTAACAGTTGACACACAAAGCAGGCAAATAATGGAAGCCGAACTTCTCACTACTGTTCTCGGTGCTAATAACATTTTCAAGGAACTTCAGCAGCATTACCTTCATCAATTATATAATATGTATGGTCTCCACACTGCATAGACATTAGAACCAAACCCATTTGCACAGGGACAGACGTTTTTTTAAGCCAAACATATCTGCCACATATCTGACTCAGTAACCATTTAGAACAACTAAAGTTCAGACAGAACTATTCGCATACTTGTACTATATTAAACTGCACTTGCAATATTCACCACTTCTGATTTGAAAAAGCTTCTTGGATGGGAAGCGAAACGTCTTCAAAACTTGGAAACAAAGTCCAGTGGATTGTTTTTAATATTCTTTTTTGGAATATTTCCCTTTTCCTCTGAGCACGGACAAGCCGGCTTGCTTGGACGCGCAATGAATCATGGGATATCCAGGCTACATAGGACACGCCGGACCTGTACTTCAAAACGGGAAAAAAGAAGGCTGCATTTGACGGCCACATAATGAGGAGTCTTCCAACCCGAACAGGCCTCGGCGCCGCGCTGTGATGTAATAAGCCACAGAATCTGGCCTTGGGAGGACGCAGCCCCTGAATCCAAACTCAGCATTTGTCTCCACATCTAATGACTTTTCAGACCCATCTAGCAACTTTTGTCTCAAAGAAGTGATTAGTGAAAAATCTCTTCATTCCTCCGTTTTTGGTCATTTTAGCATCCTCAAATCCAGTCTTCAAGAGCTACTATCCTGCAACTTTTTGATGCACCCCATTTTTAAACACACCTGAATCCAACGAGTGGCTCATTACCAAGCCTCTGCTGGGCTAAATGAGGGGATTGAGCCTTTCGATTCAGATGTGTTAGAGAAGAGATGGATCAAAAAGTTACAGGATGGTAACCCTTGAGGACTGGACTTGAGCACCCTGAGCTATCTGAAAGCCTTGCATATCAGGGCGAAGAGAGCAGACAAGACCTGCTCCACTTTCCCACAGCTAATGTACGACAAAACCTTAAAGTTAATATGTTTCCGGATGGGTTCACAAAGCAGGATATAAATATAATTCTAATATAGTATTCACTCTGGTCTTTTTTTCTCTGAAACTTTAGAATCACTGATTTACCTCCTGATGCAGTCTGGATTCAGGCAACGGATAAAAATTCATACATGATTTCATACAGCAAGTTTAACATATGTTGCATTTTAAACAACATTTTAATGACTGTGGCGTAGTTAATTATTGTAGTTTTGTTTCACTTACGCTTCCAGAGGATACCTAATCTAAATCTATGGTCGATCATAACGGAAAGGCAACACCAGGCTGTTTTTGCAATGGTTTTGTTAAAAATTTAGACATTTGTAGATGTAGAGGAAAAAAAAAACATAAGTAATGCGCAGAAACTTTCTTGACATGCTGTTTGGCAAAAGTGAAGTACTTCTAAACATGTGGAAATGTGTTAGATTACATTAAAATTGTTGCTTTGATGCATTTTAGAAAATCTTTTATTAATTTTGACATCTTGTTCCTTATGACACCTATATCTGATTTGATTCATATAATACAGAAAAAATATATATTTTGTCCTAAAGAGACTACACCTAGTATTGACAAGAAATTTTATAAGAATAGTTGATCCGAAACAGATTGATGAATCTTTAATGGGTCTCTACAAAACAATTCAATTAGCCACATGTCAAGGCTGTTTACACAGATTTTACACCAATAACCAGGTCTCTGTGATATTGCCCCATAGCGACACAACAATATGACTCAAACTTGAGTGTATCAGAGCACCAGTCGTGTTTTATATTGTCGAAAACCTAAACCAACCTATCCAAAAGGTGCCTAACTTTAGAATATATGTTGAAATGCCTCCAGCAGCTGGTTGGGATTTCTTTTCTTATTCCATGACCAACTGCTGAGCACACAAAACACAACACGGCTTATGAAAGTCCAACTTTACAGCATAAGTAGACGGCAGTGTGCTGAGATGGCATCACGAGAAGTAACACATTAAACCAGGCAATAAAATCCCTTGACTTCTTTAAAGGCATTTGTCCAAACTGAGAATACAGCTTATAGAGAGAACTCAACTATTTGCATCATCTGGGCTGGATGTTCACACAGGCATAAACCTGCCAGGAATATGAATTATGAGATCAAGTGATGTAGATTTTCATAACAGTTAAAGAACAACCAGAGGGATGCAAAAAAAAGACACCAAAATGGGACACATCCTACTGTGTCTTGTACTTCCTGCTGTATTTTTTACTTGAATTCGAAGCTTTTTCCACAGAAAAGTGGCTTCATCAGCATCTGAATATGTGTTCCCCTCCATTTAAATCAATATTGCAAAAAATGTACATCCTTGAGTTTTAAATGTTTCAGTTTCAGGAAGTTTCTCACACCAATACTGTGCCTTAAAAAGAGTTATTAATAACTTTATTAGGTTTTGACCACAAACTTGAATGGGTTTTAAAGGAGTTTTATGAAATAGGGCAAATAATAACAGACTTTAGGGAATAGGAATTCTGAAGAGTGAACAAAAGTGTTTTTCTGTTTGACAATTCTTTTAAAATTTAAACCTTTCCATAAAAATCTATCCCCCCTTAAGTCGGTCAACATTAATATCATCTTTCTCTGGCGTTACAAATGCTAATTACTTCCGGACGTGCTTCCTCATGCCCTTGCTACATCTAGAAACCAAATTTTTTTCTTTACAAAATGATTAAGATCAGTCAGGGAAAGACCAAAAAAAAAAAAAAAAAAAACTGAAGTAACCTTGGAACTTAGGCTACGTGCACACTGCAGTCTGAAGTGACCCCAATCCGTTTTTTTTGCTTATATGCGACCTGTATCCGATCTTTTCATGGCTGTCTGAACAACACAGATCTGATTTTTTCCAATGCGACCCAGGCCACTTGGTGGTCCTGAATCCAATACGAATCGGATCTCTTCAAAATGCAACCTTGTGTCTGAACGGCCAGGCCGCATCCATCCGACCTTAATGTCATTAATATCAGACAGTGGTCACTCTTCCTTCTTCTTGCTACACAGAAGTGGCAAGAAAAACAACAACAATTGTGGATAATAATGAGGAGAGAAGTATTTAGGTTTAACCATCTTGAAAAGATTTAAGGTTTAAGGTTTGGAAAGATCACTAGACGTGCTCCGGCACAACAATCCATGTTTACTTCCGTAAGCACAGAGCACGCTGGCCTGCGATGACATTGCCTCCTCTACTGCGCATTCGGGACACTTAGGTTGTATGAATGCGGTTCACACAGGAGATCACATACAAGTCACATATATTTGGAAATGTGAACAGCAACGCAAAAAAATCGTATTTCAGAAAAAAATGGGAATTGTGCATCAAGGCCTGCAGTGTGAACTTAGCCTTAGTTACTCCTATTTGATAGATCAAAAAGAAGAATCACCACAGAAGTAGAAAAAAATAATTGGATGGAATTCTGATTTAAAAAATCTACATATGAAATACAATAAACATCTTAAAGGGAACTTCTCAAATTATTATTGGGAAATGGAAAGAGCTCAACCTGAAAGCCGCTTAAGGAGATAACTAGATAAACAGAGGTTGCTTTGGAGGAGCTGCAGAGATTCACAGATCAGGTGAGCCAACATTTCCATTAGTCTGCATAGGGAAAAAAATAAATACACATAAGGTCAGGATGGAGGAGAAAGAAGAGGAAAAACATGAAGTTCTCTGAACATGTGGAGGAAGGTTCTCTGGTCAAATGGGACCAAATGACCAAACACTAACTGTAGTAAGGAGCTCTGAGCTGGAGGAATAAACGAGTTGTTGGTTGATAGAAAGATGGATAAAGCCTAATAAAAGGCAACCTTGGAAAAAAAAAGGATGCAGACTTGAGAATGGGATGGAGATAAAGAAGAAATTGTGGCAATACTCTGTCTGATGAGACTAGAGGATGAACTTTTGTGGAAAGAATCAACAAGGATGTGACTCCAGATGTGCAAAAATAAAAAGATATAAAGTTCGAGGCTATAATTGTATAAAGTTCTGTTAATTCTAGTGCAAGAGACCAGGTAGTTGTGTTTAAATAGTGAAGTTAGTTTTACATCACTTCTCTTTCATAACGTCGGTAGGAACCAGTAATAAACCAGTCACTGTATGACAGACAGCAGTGTTTTACATTTCATTGGAGCTCAGCTCCACTGGACTTTTATAAGAGCAAACTGCTCCTGTGTTCACCGTGAGCCGGCCTTAGAGATAAAAGCAGCTTTGTCTGGTGATCTGTGTACCTGAATCGCCCTCCGCAGTGCTGGCATTGGTCCCCAACCCAGCCGGGGAAACACAAACAGCTGCCCGTGGCGTTGTTACACTGCCCATTCATGCACGGTTTGTCGCATTCCTTTGCCTCGGTGAAAGCCGGCAGCCCGGAGAGGAGCACGACGGCCGAGAGCAGCAGCGCAGTTGTAAGCATCAACAACCTCCTGCCGGGGCCGGAGCCGGAGCCCGAGCAGGCCCAGCGCGTCTCCCCGTACATTCTGTCACAAAAGATGGCTGCTGGAGGCAAGCGGTCCGCCGCTTCGGGGGAGAGCCACCCGGGGAGCCGTCAGCCAGCGGGGACCCTTCTTATCGACGCGGTTGTATCGTTTCCCTGGAGGACGTAGGGAGGTTCTTGGCTGAAGAAAAGCTTCGCTGGTTACTTAGTTTCCATCACTGAGTGGCTGTTTCCCAGCGCCGCACTGAGCCGCATACAGACGTCCAGAAGTGACGTCATGCCGCAGCGTCCGAGCCATTAGACCTTTATTTTGAAGGCGGCTAATAAATCCCCATTGCTAACATATTAATTAGTTTAACGTGAATTTATTTGCTTCTCTATTTATGTTTTTTTTCTCTTTCATAACTTTTTCTTCCTCATGGACGATCAACCGATATACATGCCGCAGCGTCCGAGCCATTAGACCTTTATTTTGAAGGCGGCTAATAAATCCCCATTGCTCACATAATAATTAGTTTAACGGGAACTTATTTGCTTCTCTATTTATCTTTTTTTTTTCTTTCATAACTTTTTCTTCCTCATGGACGATCAACCGATATACAATAAAAAATAAAAGTAGAAATATGTATTTAAACCAGCTAAATAAAGCTATGCAAATCCATTAATAGAATGCTAAAAAATAAATTAAAATTAGGAAAATTTGTGATATATTTAATTTACTAGGTTTTTAATCATTTTATTTATTTTCATATCAACAAATAATGGAGTAATATTTTTTTTCACTATTATATTTATTTTTTGTTTATTGTTGCATGTATGTTTCTTTTATTCATATTTATGCCTTACATTTTGGATCTATGAGTAAAAGAGAAATATTATAACAGAGAAAATAACTATAAAGGACAGAGAAAAAAACTGAATGTGGAACATCAAATACATTTCTAAAACGATTTCTCAATTTTAATTATTTGACATTTTTTGCATTTTTTTATATATTTGGGCCATATATATATGTTTACTTTTTTCTAATTATCTCAGAGTTGGTCAACAGAACCCTAGAATAAGAAAATATTTCATCACAGTATATTGAGGAAAGTCAGTTGTTAAAATTCTACAAATCAACAAACTTGAAATATTGCTTTTTGTTAATCTGATTATTTAAATATAAATTAAAAAGCATGCAGCAAATGCATCCATTAAACTATTGTTATGATTAATAAGTAGAACTACATTATTTGATCATTGTTTTTTTCTTTGAATTGTTTTCAATATTACATTTTTCCAGTTTACTGTGATGTGTAAAAGACATCGAGAATTAACATAATCTCTCACTATTACAAATCAAAATTATTTTTGCTACAAGAATCAGACATGAGGATTTTGATCACGAGGTGAGGCTGTGAGCCAATAGCCATACTGTACATTTGATTCCAATGTTGATAAGATTCTCAAATTTAACTACGGTAGGATTATACAGTACATGGGGATGGGGTGGGGTGGGGGGGTCTGTTTTACATTATTTTTAGCCTCATAAAATAATGTAAAGCAGACTAAGATATAATGGAAACATGGAAATGGAAACCTCAAACATAAATAAAGTTAAATTTTACTCCCCTTGCAGATTAAATATCTGTAGATGATGTACTCTCCACTCCATGACCCCTTTTTGATTCCTTCTAAGTTACTCACCTTTTCATTTTAGCAAGATATCTGGATTTCCTGCCATGCCAGATGATGGAATCATGATCCATCTTAACTGTTTAGTAAATTACCGCCTTTGTTGGCCCTTTAATGTGATGCCATTGTCCTGTAACCTTAGCAGAAAAAAAGAAAAACCCAAACTGATAATGTTCTTCTGTGCTCGATGGCAAAAACGCTGTTCTTTTTCTTTTTCTAAACATAATTATTATCAGATGCAGTTCCATGAATGACATTTTGATTTCAGAAGTCGGGGAGACGCAACTATTTTTTAAAATATAACTAACTTCAGGGTGTTTGACCATCCAATCAGAGACCAAATCCAGTGGCGCATCAGATGTTTGTAAAGTGAGCTTCTCAGGAGGGACAGCGGTGACAGCCAATCACACAAGACGGAGATAATAGTCTGTGTAATATTGTTTTTAGACATTAAACATCATACACATCATAAACGGATGTTTCAAAAAGTGCAGGGGACATGCCCCCCTGTCTCCCCATGAAAACTGACTTAATTTTTGCTGTCTATGTTTTCAGTACCAGGGGGTTAACAGGGGCAAAACCTGTGCTACGGGGGCACTGGCCCCGGTTCCTCCTATCTAGAACCGCCCATGGTCATTACAGTAAAAGCTCCCTTTTAGTCTCATTTGTCCACAGCACTTTCTTCTTAGCCTTTTCAGCAGACTGGGACTGCACATATGCCTTCTATAGCAGCATAAAGAAATGTTTTAAATTTTTTAGACCATACCAGACAAGTGCTCTAACAGGTTCCCTCCATGGAACTGAGGGGTTCAGACTAAGGGGAATTCAGTGGTTCATTTCATTATTTTTCTATAAAATTTGAAACCGTTGTAACAAGACAATAGCTGGTAATCTTGGAGCACAATCACTTATCTACTATTTTGTTCCTGAGGAGTATTTTGGTCTTTAGTGGAGAAGTTGGAAGTGAAGAAATCGATTCACTGAGCTGTTGTGCTTTATATACTTCAGTATAGGAACATATGTAAACGATTGCTTTATGGATTTGAGCAACATGGGCACATGATCTGTGGGAGACAGAGTTTAAGTTCTGCTGTAGGGGATTCAATGTTTATTTTACTTAATGGCATGCGAACAAATTTTTTTATTTAATTTCATGCTTTGTTTCTGTATTTATCTGGGGTAAACTTAAACTGCCCTGACATCTAAAGTCTGTGCTTTTTTATACAATCATAGAAATTCAGCCTGTATTGTTTCACTGGCCTTGCAGCAGAACATATTTTCACTCTCTTTTGCCCAAGATGCCTTCAGGAGTACTGTCCCAACAAGGAAAAAACATCCTTATGACCTGTTTAAATGGGCAGAAATTGGTGACATTCATTTGTATAATTCAAAAAGTGGTATTTTCCTTTCTGATTTATTAATCAAAAGTGTTGGCTTTAGACAATCTCGATATCCATCCATCCATCCATTATCTGACACGCTTCTCCCAATTGGGGTCGCGAGGGGTGCTGGTGCCTATCTCCAGCAGTCAATGGGCGAGAGGCGGGGTATACCCTGGACAGGTCACCAGTCCATCGCAGGGCCAATCTGATATCACAAATCTGAATTTTAAATTTGTTTCTCAATGTATTTACAGAGATGTTAATAATGTCGGGAACAAAAAATTATCAATATTCAATATGTGAATATTGACTATGGATTACACTAAAGATTTTATTGGAGAGCAATAAAACTTACTAAGTCGTGGAGATAGGTATTAATTATGTCTGATCATTTTAATAAGGACACTATGAATTGTTGAGGTATATTTTTTTAGGTATAAACTAGGTCACCCTGACATTGATTCGTACAACAAAGTTGTTTTCCAGGGGTTAAATTGTGTTTGTCCAAGGGCAAGGCGCGGCTCATGGGGAATCTTAGGCCACACCGGAAATAAATTACATTTCTAATTTTTTAACAATACTGAAGCCGACCATCAGATCATATTTATTTGATAAAAGGCCATTTCCACTTTTATGAAATGTGGAGTACCATAGCATCGAGCTACCACAAAGATCTGACAGTTTCCCTTATTCTAGCTCATGCATAGTCTCAATATCCATGTACTGTGTTTTGCAGCGGATTAGCTTTCCCAATTAGATATTTATGGGATAAAATCCCTACATACTGTATTGTTCAGTTTAGTTTAGTTTATTTATATAACACCAATTCACAACACATGTCAGTTCAAGGCACTTTACAATTTAACCAGATCATGTAGTCAAACTGATGCAAAGCTTTCTATCTAAGGAAAACCAGTTGATTGCATCGACTCATTGACTCAAAGGCAATCCCTCACACCAAGCATGCTTGTAGAGAAAGTGGAGAGGAAAAACTCCCTTTTAACAGGAAGAAACCTCCAGAAGAACCAGGCTCAGTGTTAGTGGCCATCTGCCAAGGCCGACTGGGGTTCAAGGAGACAGAAGCAGACATACAGAAAGAAGCACAAAATGCAACTGTCAACCAGCTCCACAGGTGGCCAGCTCCCATATCAGAGGATGAAGAGAGCACATACAGTTGGTCACAGTCAGAGAAACAGGACTAAACTGAAAAACAAGCCAAGCTCCAACATCTATAAACGATGGTGATACAAACAGACAGAGGAATCATTACAAGTTATTGTGATGCTCCATTTGATAATCACTATAAACTAAACCGGTGATTGTTAATCATTTCAACCTACGAATCCTATAAGAACAATCTGACTGACAGACAACCCTTAATAGTACCCATAATTCCTTTACTACTCCTTTATTCTATATGTAATTAAACTCATAAATTGAAGTAGTTATATTCAAAAAAATTTTAATGACATTAAATTTATTAATTCACCATATTAAATGTATTTTTATTATATACTTGGATATCTAATTGTGCATTTTTGAATGTTAATGTATATTAAATATTTGTTTAATGTATTAGATAGAAAAATAAATGTTACTTCTGCTTAATTCATTGTAAATTTATAAAATTTAGTCACACTTATGTTTGTCTGCGGGCAGAAGAGGATGATGTCAAACTTGTTCCTGAACTAAACTGTAGAATTGTTGACACACACAATGGTGCTTGCACTCTAACTTCTGCCTGTATGTCTTCTTGTTCTTTTTTGCCTTTAAGTAACATCTGTATACTCTTCAATGTTTTTGGGTCGCCCTTACTTATGGTTTGTGATTTGATTTACCAAGAGTAGGTTTTGGTTTAGAGATGTATGCGTCTTTGACATTTGATAAACAAGTCCAAAGTTTTTTTTTTCTCTGTTAGAGCTGTTGAAAAACTGTAAAAACACAGAAGATTAGCAGAATGAGACTTCATTAAAATCACCACATATTTGCCATAAATGCATCAAGGTGATGTGTCTGTTACTTAGCAACTACTAAGCTGATGACTTTACAAGCAGTATTGCAAAATTAACAAATTTTATAGCAGAACAACACTCTGGGTAAATAACACAAATTAGAGCTAACTGCCAGCCCATTCATATCTAGACTCTAGAGACAAAGTGTAGCAGTCACATATCTTTGATGACACCATCTGTT